CGCAGTGCTGCTCTCGGTTCTCCCCTCAGGAAGGGCTCCTGTGCCGCAGTGCTGCTCTCGGTGCTCCCCTCAGGAAGGGCTCCTGTGCCGCAGTGCTGCTCTCGGTTCTCCCCTCAGGAAGGGCTCCTGTGCTGCCGCAGCATCGCCCGCCCCGGGGCGGCTCCTCGGGGCCCCTCGGCCCCGCTGTCCTGGCGGGTGTGCAGTAGCAGCACTGCACCAGCGGCCTCCAGGGAGGGACCAAGGGGTTCCTAAAGGCCGTCGTGGTTTGCTTCCTCTGACGTGGGAGCTCTTGCTTGTCTGCGAGCTGTCACTGAGCATAAACCTCTTTTTGCCATCGCTAAAAGGCCCCCAAACCCAGCAGCATTCTGGGCAGCCGAGCAACCTGGCACGCGAGCTCAGATGTGTTGGAAGCAGCACGGGAGTCCTGCTGGAATTTGCAATTTGGGCAGCCTGGGCATGCTGCCTGGTAGGAACACATTTTACTGTTTCCCCTGAAATATTGACACCTGATTTCTGGGCCATTACTCACTTGTGCTCCTGTAAAACACATGCCACCTACTTCCCAGCTGGGGATGCACCTGCTGAGGGTGTAGCAAAGATGGAAATCCTGAAACACAAAAAGAAAAAGAAAAACAACAAAAAAACCTAAAACAAACAAAGTGAAAAAAACTCATGGTGAGATTATGACAGAGGAGACTTGACCCTCATTTGGGGTTAATGGAAAGCAGTGCGTGATTGAGACCAGGAGTACAGGCAATGTTGGATGGGTAGAGGAATAAATGCTCTTCTAGGAACTAAGCACTCTTCTAGGAACTAAGAGCAGCACCCATCTGCACTGGTCAGGACATCTTTGCACGCAGGTCAGGACTTGCTGGGAACTGCAGTAATATCCCATGTGTTTCCTGCACTGTCCTGATAAGGGGGAACAGGCTGGAGCAGTGTATGCACATTGAGACCAAAGTGATAGGACAGCACTTCCCTGGGCACGGAAGGAAGTGCCCAGGGCTGGGGAACGGATGGCTGGGGGCAAGTTGGCTCCTAGAAATCCAGTCTGAACACCAGTGCCAGGTGGAACTGGGGTGTCCTGCTTATCTGGTACATGTCAGGCTTCCATCCCTGGGCAGCACATGTCCCTGGTTTTGTCTCCCCTGCCCTGAGCAGAAGGATGCCCTCATGCCCTGGGCCAGGCCAGGTGTTCTTTGGTACCTCCAGCTGTGGGTTCTCCTGAACACACAATCCCAGGGGCGTCTGATGGCCTGGACATCTGCAGCATGGCCTCATCTTTCCTAGCACATGTGCACTTTCATCTGGTGCATGCTCTCAGCTTCTTCCAGCAGGAGAGAAAGATCTCTCCTTCTCTCAAGGAGAGGTGACAAGGTGGAGGTGCTTCATGGTTGGGGACTCCTGTGCGTGGGGTCAGGCACAGCCTGGTGCAGTGGGTGGCACAGGGATGGTGGGTGCAAGGACAGAACCCAGCAGTAGCACCTCAGCAGCCCACAGCCACTTCAGCTCCCTGCCAGGTGCCTCTCTGATGTTCACCTTGGAGGCACAGGCATGAAACACCACTCCCCATCTCAAAGGCTTTCTCTCCCTCCTGGCACCACCACAACCTTCCAGCCTCCATGGCCAGGCCGAACTCACCAGCCCATGGGAGCTTCCAGCGAGTGCTTCTGCTGCCTGACTCATTCAGAGACGCCTCTGATGTGAGGAACAAGAGAGAAAGCAGAAATGCTCCACTGACCCACTTACTGCAGGGAAACCCAGCAGAGGAAAGCAGGCTTCATTTTGGGACCTCCTCCATGTCAGTATTTCTACTGTGATGCTAAGGTAGATCCATCAGGGATGCATTTTATGGATACTCAGGGGTGCTGATGGCATCAGCCCTGCTGTTCCCTGGTGGTCCCTGTGTCTGAGTTTGGCCATCCAAGAACTGCACTGTTCTTGGATATAATGAGCCCCTCTTTGCCCCATCACTGCTGGGGTGCAGTAACTTGGAAGTGCTGATATAAGGGGTCATGCCTGGTGCTCCAAACACATCAATGCCACATGGCACAACTGTTTTCCTGGTGCCCTGTGTGTGGCTGCTGCTTCTGAGATACTCAGCATTCCTGAGAAGCTTGTTCACTCTCACACACACACAAAAAAAGTTCCAAAAGAAATGAGACATAGTTCAAATGATTTTGAGTAATTTTTATCCGCTCCAGTTGAGAACTGCACATTTCAGGGAAACAACCAGCACTTTCTGTGTGTGTGTGGGTCCTTGGCTCTGGCAAAATATGTTTCTCTGTGAGTCTGCATGGCAGGAAGCTGTCATGGCTTTTCCATCACATTTGCACAGGAGGACGGTGCCTTTGGGCATGGGCAGATGAGCTCCAGCAGGAATGCCAATACCTCTCTGCAGCTTTCTCAAAAGCACAGCTGCTGCCTGGCCCAACCATGGGTTGTCAGCGGGATGCTGACAGTTTGCAGAGGCTCCCACATGGGTTTGCAGAGCCCTTGGAAGCTCCATAGCTGTTAATGGCACTCACTGGCTGGGATCACACTTGCTCTTGCTGGGGCATGTGAGGTCCAGGTTGGCATGCTGGGCCAAGGAGGATGTCCAGATGGGATGGGCCTCTGGATGTCCAGTTGTTCTTGGCCTAATTTGCTCCACACTGGCTCTCGTGTGCCTGCACAAAGCTGCCACTGTGTGCAGCTAAGGCCAGGATTGAGCCCCCTCCCCAAGTTACTTCCAATTTTCACACATGGATTCCCTTTCCCACAGCCTTGAGTATCTTGATAATATTTTCTTTCTGGCCCCCTGGGTTAGACTTTGTCTCTCAGGTTTCCTCTTATTGCTCTGGGCCAGGAACCCGGAGCTGCCTCCCAGTAGCAGGAAATGGTTAATTCAGCACTTGCCAGTGTCACATCCATTAATTTCTGGCTGTGTCCAGGCTTCTGCCACTGCAGCCCCCAAGGAATTCTTTTCCTGACTGTCCTCTGTGATCTCCAGTTGTCATCCCATGGTACCCAGAGCATCCCTACCAGGGTAAGAGTCAAGAAGCTTCTCTGTTGCCCCATGCAGAACTCTGGCACTCAGAGTTGGAGCACCCCTCCTGGAAGCCTATCCCAACCCTCCCACATGCCCATCCATGCTCCCCCCCCTCAGCTGCCCTCTTTGTGGTCGTGTTGTCTGCCTGGCCATGTTTTCCCCATCTGCTTGTTTCTGGAAGCCTTTCCAGGTGAGTCGCACAGCACCAGGAGATTCCCAGATGGGATGACTAAAATAAAGTCACATCCACAGCAGGAGACACTGGTGCCTGAAGCACAGCCCAGATCTCCTGTATCTCTCCCAAAAAACTCTCTTTCCTCCATTTCTGCGTACTCTTCTGCTTCACTGCAGTAGGGCAGGATGCAAAGCACCCTGGGGCATCCCCAAATGTGACACACCATTTGCTTTGCCCCAACATACTTGCTGGAAAAAGTGAGGTGAGTTGTTGCTCACAAAGAAAAGGAGCCCCAGGCTAGTCATGGAGCCAACTGTGGGTGTGCAAGCTGGAGAAAATGTTTCTTACTCACTCTTTGCCTCCCCAGGAGCAAGGTGGGTGGTGTGAAACAGAATCTGTTTCTACCCTGTGCTGAGGATTCATGTAAGAGACCCCCAAAAGCCCATCCCTCCACTGTCTCCACTGCGTCCCTGTTTCCCAATCACCAAGACCTGTCACATGGGTGTTTCTGCACACACTGGGACTGTCACCAAAGGGGTCACTGCCCCCGTTGCACTCCTGCTGCCCTGTGACATGATTTATGGGACATTTCCCTACCTCCCTCATCCAGGGGATGCTGGGACCATGCAGGGCGTTCCTCCTCATCTTCCTGCCTTCGTGAGCCAAGGGACAACCACATGGCAGTGTGTGTGCCTGAGCACACGTGTGTGCATTGATGAGGGGAGGAGCATTTCATGGGCTTTTAAAAAGAGATTGAAAATTTGTGAGTAAAATGAAAGAAATTTGAAATAATATTTTGGTGCATCTTCTCTGAGCTCTGCTGCAGGACCCTGGGAGAAGAGGAGCAGCTGGTGGGAAGGGGACTCTAAGAATCATCCCAACCCACTCCCTCCCACGTGGCTTGAGGCAAGGTTTTGTGGCCAAATCATCACTGTTTGGGGTGCAGGCATCCCAGAGACAGGAATAAATCACGTGTGTACATTTGCATCCCTGGCAACCTTCTCTCCTCTTCAGAGGTGACAGAGAAGGTGAGACCAGGCAAAGACCACACCTAAATTCTGCTGCCTCTGCAACCCTCCCTTTCCTCATCTTGCTCCCAGACAGGAGCCAGGACACCGAGCCAGCTGGGTCCTGCAGCGGAACTTACCACTGTGCTTGCCCTCCCTTTCCTTTTGTTTTTTCCTCTCCTCCTGCCACTGCCAGAAGAAGAACAGGAAAGTCCATCATTCACATGCTGGTCTTTGCACAAACCTGCTCAAGTGATTCCTCTCCTGACATCTTTGAGAAACTTTTCAGTGCTCCAAGTGAGTGCTGGCTTTAAATCATCATCTCTGGTGGATTACAACAGCTGGATGAGAAGATAAAGGCTTTTCTCTCCTCTTTCCTTTCTCATTCCTTCCTTTTCACTTTTCTTCCTGAAGTCAGAGCAGTCCCCAGCCAGGAGGCATGGTGCTGGTGGGAGCCCTGTGCAGCCTCCTGCTCCTCTGCCTGGTTGAGGAGGGCATCAGCAAAGTGAGAAGATACTACATTGCTGCAGTGGAAACCACCTGGGACTACACACACAGCGACCTGCTGTCCGTGCTGCAAGCGCCTGCAGGGTAAAGATCTTCCTTTTGCAATTCTAGAACCCTGTCCTGGGTGTTCTCCCACCCTGGCATGTGGCACTGTCAGCTTGGCTCCAGGCAGGCAGGTACATGGGGGCAACCTGGCCAGGTGGGTGCACTGAGCTGCTGGTACAGCTGGGAAGGGGTGGTATGATGGGGAGTCACTAAGTGCAACCCCTGGTGAGGGGCAGGTGGAATTGAGAAAGATGCATACCTGCTCCTCATCACTGTCCTGCACTATTTTATCTTAATGACATTTGCCTATAACCCTTTAAAGTCTGTGCTAGGAGCCATGAGCTGATTTTCTACCTGTGCTTTCTTTTCTGCTCTGCATCCTGGGGGCTTTAGGGGGGAGGGTTGAGGGGAGACAGGCACTTGTGACTCCCTGGGCACTGCAGAGGAAGGTTGGATGTGCCCACCCTGTCATAACTTAGCAGCAAAAACTTTCCACTATGTCTGCCCCTGGTAAAATCCAGCTTTAGTTATTTATATCTTTACGTACATTACATTGCTGGGGCTGAAATTTTTCTTTAAGGAAATGAAAATAATTTGTAGTGTTTGGGAAAAGAATGGTATTCATACACAGTGGCAAGAAGGAAGAAGGCATGATGGTTTTGCATGTGTACTTTGAAGTAAGAAGGAAAAATGGGAGTTGTATTGCTCAAGCATCAGGATGGTGTTGTCTGAAGACACATCTGGCTTGGACAGGCATGGTTGTGAGTGTTCTGAGTGTGGACAATGGATCTGGATGGCTGCACCCCTTGTGGATCAAGATGTGCCCATTCCCTCTGCCCTGTTTCCATATCCCCTTCCCCAGACTCTCTGCTGAGGCAGTAGCAGCCCATGGCCCCATCTCAGACCCACACTGGCCTGAGCAGTGAGGAGCTGTGGTTGGGCACTGGAAACCAGGCTCTAGGGATGACCCAGGTCAGCCTGACTAGCTGCTGTAATCACTTTATCCCAGTAATGTTGGTTTTCCCCCTTTTGATTACTTTAGTAGGAAAATTGCATCCAGCACCCCCTATTTTACTAATCCCCCTTGCCCTGCTTTCACTGATGTTGCCCACAGATCCTTTAGGCTGTGGTAGAGATGATGACTTTGCTCACACTGTTATTTCAGGCTTGTGGCTTTCCATTTCAGCACTGGCTTTATGATGCACTCGGGCACTATTTCTGACCCTGGAGTGACTCAGGGACCTGACCTTGCCTGGGGATGAGCGGGGCATTGGCAGGCAGTGTGAGGCCACTTGTCCTTCTCTAAAAATGGGGGAAGATAACATTGGCTGTCTCAGAGGGACTTGGTGGTGTGCTCCAGCCTGGAGAGGCAGAGAACTCCTGGGCAGCTGTGCAGCTCCTGGGGAAGCCGTGCTGGGAACCAGGGCTTGCTTGTCATGGCTGTTCCTAGCTGAATGATGGTGCCTTTTCCATGGCCCTGCAACCTCAGCCCAGTTCCCTGCGACAGAGGAGGGCACAGGAAAACAGCCAGGCTGGATATAAGGGGCATGCAGGAGTGAGCCAGGAAAGCATGGCAGGCAGAGCTGCCCCTGGAGCTGGGCTGTCTCTGAGCTGTGTGTGTGGTGCCTTCTGCTCCCCACGTTCTCCCTCAGTGCACCAGCATCTCATGGCAGCTTCCAAAGGTGCATCTCCAGGCAGGACCTCCAAACCCCTCATATGTATCCAGGGGTTTCTCTGGCATGTTTGTAGAAAGCTCTGTCAAATTAATGGGCTGCAACACACCAGGCCAGAGCTACTCACACCTTCCCCATGATTTCAGTTTCTCTTCCTCCCAAACACAACCCCACCAGCAGGGTCAGAGCCAGGACCAGCATATCCTGCAATGGCCCCAGGGATCTCAGCTTGGACATGGAGCTGCTGGACACGTAGCAGCAGCCCATGTCTGAGTGTTTTGGCAGTGCAGGATGTCTCCCAGCTCCAAGAGATGAACAGATAGTGTGGCTAACAATGCTGATCCAAGGTGCCAGAAACTTATCAGCCTGCCTCAGCTTCTGCTGCCATTGGGAAAGGAAGTTCATGGGGACCCCAAGTACAGAGGACTGGCCAGAAGACTTTGATCAGACATCCCTAGGCTGAACTCTGCCTGCTTGTCTCCTGTGGGCTCTGCTCTGCCAGCACTGGGACCCAGCACTAAGCCCTGTTGTCACTAGGTCCCTTCCCAGCCATGCCTCTGCATGCCAGCAAAATCCCCCTGGCTCCAGAGGATTTCTGCCTTTTTTACTGGGCAGGACCAGACCATCATATCTCAGGGCTGCATTCTCAAATTTGGGCTTTCTGTGAGCTAGAGATTAAGGCACATCTTCCTGAGAGTGGACAGCTACCCTGAAGCACAGCTACCTCCCAATGTGGGGACACACTGAAGAGCAAAGTTGGGGCTGGACTCCACTGCCATCAAGCCAGGAATGATAATAGTTCATGGGCAAAGTCAGCTGAGTGCAGTGGCACTGGGCTGTGCTGGGGGTTCCTGCCAGTCTGGATGTGGTGTTACAGGAGCTGGGTGCCCGTGGGGTTTTCACGGGCTCCCATCCTGCTCTGCCCCTGAGGAGAGTGGGGCCCGCTCTCCCCACAGCATCCCCCAGCTGCAAGTGGCTTCCAGTTGTAGGGGTGAGCGTGCATTGCTTTTCCTAAATTTGAGTCACACCGTCTCCTTCCTCTTCCGTTCAGGGAAGAGTCACAAAGGGAAAGGCTGCTCAAATAAGGGTTAGTCAGAGCAGGACAGCAACCTTCCCTGCTTCTTAAGTGGGAAGAAAATACCACCTGTCTTTTGCTCCAAACAAAACAAGGCTGCAAAGGTCTGTCTGGTTACTGGAAATGGTCTTGGGCTAAGTCAGCCTCTAAAATCCTTGAAGAAATTAATGCCTTTGTTATCCAGATAAATGTGCAGCATTCCTTCTGGAAAAAGAATTTGTTAAGCTTCTTACAGATAGAAAGTGGCCAGCAGAGATAAGTGGGGTTTGAAATACATTCAAGGCTCCTTTATCTTCCTGCTGTGAAGTGTAAATCCCATTTTGGGCAGAAAAGAACCAAATGTGTAGACATTGCTGAGACACAAAGCGAACTGCCACACCTGCCAGCAGCCGACAGTCTCTTTTCCTGGGCAGGGAGCTGGGGAGGATATGAGTTACACATGATGTGATCTGTTTGCCACACCTGAAAGGGCTGGAGTTGGGGTGGGGATGGCTTCAGGGCACAGGTCATCATGGCACTGCCAATGCTCTGTGTCCCTGCTGCCAAGGAAACATGAAGCTGGACAAGGCATGAGGCAGGAGACTGGCAGCAATACCTGCTGCTGTGCCCTGTCCCAGCTGCATCTGGGTATGGCCTCGTGTCTTCTTCCATCATGACTAACACCACAACACTAATCACTGCCCTGTTGTCATCTGTATGATGAGCAAAACATACCTGGGAGCTGTCAGGAAATCCAAAGGACACAGCAGGGTGAGCAATCCCTGGGGCTCCAGCAAGCAAGCTGGTGGGAAGAGGATGGCTGTTGCCCATGCATGGATGGGTCTGTGCAATCAGCCTTGGCTTTTCCTTCCTCCTGCAGCGTTTTGGGGCATGCAGGCCCACGTCTGCCCCCAGCTGGTGTCCCTCCCCGCTACAGGAAAGCTGTTTTTGTGGAGTATCCTGATGGCTCATTCACACAGCCCAAGCTCAAGCCAGCGTGGATGGGTAAGAAGCACCTGCGGTGCTGGCTTCTCTTCAGCCAGGAGCAGGAAATCACCCGGGTGGATCCCAGTTTGGCAGAGCTCCTGGGGGTGCAGAGAGCCTTGCTGGAGCTGATGCAGTTGATGCTGCCGTGCTGCACGAGGGACAACCACTTGTGTGGGGCTTATGGAAAGCCAGGACCCTTTGGGGTTTCTGGCAGGGTGTGAGCTGCCTGACCCCAGCTGCCTGACCTTGTTGTCTTATCCCCTTCAGGTCTTCTAGGCCCCACCATTCGAGCAGAAGTCTATGACACAGTGGTCATCACATTTAAAAACCTGGCCTCCCGCCCGTACAACCTCCATGCTGTCGGAGTGTCCTACTGGAAGGCGTCAGAAGGTGAGCTGGGCAGCCTCGGGTGCTGCAATTCCTTGTGTAGCACCTCCTGCTCTGGCACCTGCCTGCCAGATGTGCATCCCACCCTCACCCTGCTATTCATGTCCCTCTGTGAGGACAGATGCCATGCCCAGCCCAGAAATGAGCTGAGCAAACAGTGCAGAGCAAACCTGTATCAGTTATAGAGGTATTACAGGGGTTAAACCTTAGGTTGGATGTTTAGGGCAAGGAAGACTGTGCTGTCCAGCCTCAGGGCAGGTGGTGGGTGCACAGCCCAACATGTGAGTGTGGCACAGCTCTGTCACTGCCCATAGGACTCACTCCCCTGAGGTGGAGAGGGGCTGTGTTCTGGGTTGGAGGAAAGGGCATTTCTGTAGCCACGGTGGGCTGGGGATAAACCTTCAGTGACATCTGGCCATTTCTTTGGTTTTAGGAGCAGGGTATGAGGATGAGACCAGCCAGACAGAGAAGGAGGGGAACAGGGTGGACCCTGGGAAGACACACACATATGTCTGGGAAATCCAGGAAAACCAGGGCCCAACGGAGGACGACTCAACGTGCCTGACCCACTCCTACTCCTCCAACACCAACAGCGTGAAGGACATCAACTCTGGTTTGATTGGAGCCCTGCTCGTGTGCCGACCTGGTAAGCACAGCACAGGGTGGGGACAGGCCATATGCAACCATTAATTGAAAAGCAGAATAATCACAGATGCTTTCCTGAGGCTGAGAATGGCAGTGGAGTCAATGAGCTGTGCTCAATGAAAGTGCTCCTGGGGTTCAGTCTTGACATCCTGACAGCATAAGGTACAAGAAGATGTGACTGGAGTAAGATTGGTCATCCTTGGCTGAAACATATCCTGGAAGTAGTTGTCCAGACCCCTCTATAGTCACTGGAAATGACTGGGCACTGTCTGCAGGCTCCAGTGACTCACCAGGAGCAGCTTCTCCAGTGAGCAAAGGTCTAAGAGGAAGCAGTACCAAACTGACCTTTTGACGCCTTCTGAGGGCAGCTGCCTCTCAACCATGGACTTTTGGGGGCTGCAAGACTGGAAGCAGGGCTGTTGCAATTGTGAGACATGACAAAAGCAAAGCACAGCCTGGCCTTGGTTTACCAGTTCTTGAAGAGCACAAGGAATTCTCTGGGTGTTGCTTGCTGATCTTTAAAGAAATCCATCTCATTGCATCTTGCAGGGACCCTGGCAAGTGATGGGAATGAAGGCCAGCAGAAAGAGTTTGTTCTGCTCTTCGCAGTGTTTGATGAAGGTAATTATTGACTGACTGGTGTCAGGCCCTGCATTCAGCCAGGTCTGGGGCATTTGCTTTGGTCATGGTGTGAGCACAGCTTCTCAGCACCCACATCCCTCCCAAGGGTTTAAGCTTGTGCAGTCCCCCCAGCCAGTGTGCTCCTGGTGCAGTACTGCCCCTCCTTCCCTTCACCAGGTGCAGGGAGCTTGCAGCCCACCCAGCTCTGCCATCCCATGCCCTGGCCTTGTTCCCATCATACAGGTTAAGAGGAGAGTCATTCCCTGTCCTGTGTAGTGGTCACCCCCACACCCATGCAGAGCCATGGCCAGGTGTGCTGTGGATTTCCACAGGCACCACAGATCCGACCTCCCTGAGAAGGTTTACTTGTTCTTTGATATGTTCCTAAGTGAAAGCTGACTGCACCCTTCTCTCTCCACAGGGAAAAGCTGGTACTCTGAGCAGGGTTCCTCAGCAGCTGCTCAGCCCCAGGCTCACAACAGGACAGAGCTGCACACCATCAATGGCTACATCAATGGCTCACTGCCTGGTGAGTCCTGGTGGGACAGGAACAGTGGTGAGGGGCATGGGAGCTGCTAGGAGTAGGGGTGGAGCCAGGTCTATAAACTTGAGGTAGCTTGGGAAAGGATGTGAGAAAAGAGATCAAGAGGAGTTTCCAGGTGATGGGTGTGTTAGGCTGTATTCACCTCGGAGGGAGTCTTATATTTCAGCTCCTTGATCTGCCTTTCCCATTTACAGCAGGGCAGGAGCTGTTTCCAGCTGTCTGTGTTGCCAAGTGCAGCTGACTTCCTTGGAGGTCTAAAAGAATAATGCTGGTAGCAGTTTTATAGCCCTGTGAACAAGGCTGGAGGTAGCATTTAGCTCTCACTAAAACACCTTCATAGGATTTTGGGAATAGAACCATGGAATCTTTTAAGCTGGAAAACACCCTTAAGATCATCAAGTCCAATGGTAAATTTAACACTGCCAAGTCTATCACTAAAACCATGTCCCTGAGTGTCAAATATACAAGTCTTAAATACCTGGGAAGCCTGTTCCAATGTTTGGCAACCCTTTCAGTGAAGACATTTATCCCAATATCTGACATAAACTTCCTTGGTGCAGCTAGAGTGATAAGGTCTTCTCTCAGACTCCTCTTCTTCAGAAGAGCAAAATAAAAGGCTGGGTTTAACCTCAGTGAACACAAAAGTTGGTATTTTCTGGGTTCTCCTGGGAAAAGATCCAGAGCTGTCTGAGAGTAAGGAATCTCCAAGGCAAACTTGGATAGGGAAACACTATCAGGAGAGTCATTACCACCAGCAGCTTTGGTGAACCACATCCTAAGAACTCCCACTTGGGTCTGGCCATTCTCCAGTAAAAGGCAAAAGCAAAACTCTCCTAAATTCCCTGTCCTGATAAGTTCATAAAACTTAAGAGCTAAGGAAACCACATGGTCAACCTCTGTGTCTACAAAGTGTGTTTTCCCTGGAGAAATTATCCATCTCCACTCAGCATCCCCCTCCCTGGATGCAGGACCTGGTCTGAGAGGTGTCTGATAGAGAGCTGGAAATGGAGAGCTGAGGGCCTCAGGATGGGACCTCCACCCAGTTTCCTCCCAGGCCCTTGGGATCTGTTCCAGTCACCTCTGCACTCTGCCAAAAGCAAGTGCTTGACGCTGTATTTGACTTTGTTTGGCTTGAACTTCCAGGAACTTGGAACTTCCCTGCTAGATTACAGAGGCCTTCAGCACACATCAATTTCTCCCCAGGAAAGTAATTTTACAATGCAGTCAAGTTCTTTCTAATTTCCTAAGCACACCGAGCTCTTTGAGTGTCTCTGAGGAAGGAATTTTCTCCAGCACTTAAATAATCCTGGTGACCCCTCTCTGCCCTTTGTGGTATTTCAGTTACTGCTACGTGCTGGAGCCCTGCTCCAGATGCAATGTTTTAGTATCTGCCTTGCCATTGTTGTGATCAGACAAATTATTCTTCTTTTCCAGTGCCCAGTTTTCCTGTTTATAGGGTCAAGGAGCACATCTCTCTCTTTTGCAACTGCACTCGATTGTGAGCTCCTAACAGCAACCCTCCCAGAGTCCCCCAGTCTGTAAATCTGGTCTTATCTCAGGGAGATGATGTGACCTGTGTCTCTGTTTTGCTCAGACAGTCCACATTCATGTGTGATTTCTCCAGCTTGAAGCCAGCACAGGAGTAGGGGACTCTATCAGCATAGATAGAGTATCAGACTCAGCATCAAACTCTGAATCTATGGCACCAAGAGTGGGGACAAGGGCTGGTTACAGTGCTGACTTCTGGGTGCTTTCCTTGTTTCCTGGCAGGTCTCACACTGTGCCTCAAGAAGCAGGTCCACTGGCATGTGATTGGGTTGGGCTCTGGGCCAGAAGTCCACTCCATCTTCTTTGAAGGCCACACATTCCTGGTGAGAAGCCACCGTCTCAGCAGCCTAGAAATTTCCCCTGCCACATATCTCACAGCCCAGACCATGCCAGGAACAGCTGGCTGGTTTCGGATGTTCTGCCAGATACCGTCCCATCAGCAAGGTAACCTTATTTTCCAAGAGCCTGGGGGAAAAGCAGTTCAGGGGATGGCCTGGGCTCAGGGTTCTGTGTGGTGCTGCAGCTCCAGGGCCCCTCCTGCTCCCTGGTGCTACATCTACCTGCAGTCTGGCCCATACCAGATGGCATGGGTTGATCTATGTTAGCTCATTTGATGGGAACAGTATGGAGAAGATTTCTCCCAGGGCAAGTGCCTGCCTGTATTGACACATCAGTGTGACCCTTTCTGCTGGCTTGTCTGAACCCAGCTGGCATGGAGGCCTATGCAAAGGTGGAGGAGTGTCCTGAAGAACGTCTGCTGAAGACAGGGAAGCTGTTAAATGAGCCAGAGGACCTGGATTACCCTGAGGAAGATGAGGAAATTCACCATATTATCCAAGTACGCTCTTTTGCCAAAGACAAGCCCATGACCTGGACTTACTACATTGCAGCTGAGGAAATGGACTGGGACTATGCCCCTGTGAAACCAGTGTCTCTGAACAGGTGAGAGTGGGCATGTGTGCTCATGAGGCTGCTCCAGGCAGCCCTGACTTTTCCCCCAAAATTACTTTTCATTCTGCCCAACCTGGACAGTCTTGTTCTTCTTTATTAATGCTAATAGTATGGATGCAGGACAAGAATTGTCTTGGGGAGGCTATGGGAAAGCAGGACCTGACTTTGCTCCATTTTACCAAATGCCCTTCAGAGACATTTGTCTCCGGGGCATTTGTCTCTCTGCCACCAAAGCCTCTGGCATCAGTCCCTTCTGAGCAGACAACAACTCCTGGTGAACTTCTCAGCCATCTGCCAGGTCCTTGGATGATGGAAGGTCTTGCTCTGTTTCTGACAGTGTCCTGCATGTGGCCACTTGCTCTTTTTCTGCCTTTGCCTGCAGAAACATGACGAGCCTGTACCTGGAGCCTGGCCCACAGCGGATCGGTTCAAAGTATAAGAAAGTGGTGTTTGTGGAGTATGAGGACAGAACCTTCAAGAAGCGCAAGGTTTCCAACCAACAGGACAAGGGAATTCTGGGCCCTGTCATCAAGGGGGAGGTGGGAGATCAGTTTAAGGTAAGAGAAATGCAGCTTTCCACTGTGGAAACATCAGAACTTGATGCTGTTCCTACTAATAGCTCTTGGCTTGTGGCTAATGTCTGACTTAAGTCATTCAGGTGCTCTCTCATGTTTGGCAATGTTAAAAGTTCACTGGAAAGGCAAATGCTACTGGCAGCTTAAGGTAAATATTCTCAGTGAAATGCACTGAATATAGCCCAGTCCCTCTGATTTGACTTTGTTGCAGGTGCCTAAGAAACTGTGTAAGTTAATACATGACATCCAGCACCTTCTTCTGAGGCAGGAGTGTCCTCTCATCCTCTACTCTTCTCCATCTGTTTGCTGTTACTTTGCAGGATTGGGGACTGTCGCTTTTGTCTCCCGAAGTGCCTTCCTGACCACTTGACTTGTTTGCAGCTGGGAGGAATGGGATGGTTTCCAGCAGCTTCACATTTCTGCTCCCTCTCTGGGGTTCCCTGTACAGTTGTGGGCATGTGACAGAGCTGTTTAGAGAAATAAAGGAAAGGCTTCATGCAGTGAAGTGGGGAGCCCTTTAAAGCTCTTGACTGCTGTGCATACTTAATGTCCTGGTCCTCTGAGGCCTGGATTGATGGACCTCTTCTGACTCTTAAGTAAAGTAAGACTAAAGACAGCAACTTTCTCTTTGATAAATCTGATATTTTCATGCCCTCCCTAAAACAGACATCTCCCAGAACACTGGACAGTATACAGTTTCACCCCAGAGAAATTGTGGTTTCTTATATTCTGACTTTGTGGTCCCAGACATGTCCGGGTACCTCCTGTTGATCATTGACAGGTAGTCAACCCCAGGGCACTGCTGTCTGGTGTTTCCCTCTCTGCAAGGACACTGAGAACAGCTTTGAGGGCTTACAGGGATCAGAAACCACCAAACATTCCTGCTGCCTGTCCTCATTTCAGATCGTGTTCAGGAATCTGGCCAGCCGACCCTACAACATCTACCCTCACGGCCTCACCAGCGTCAGGCCCTACTATGCTGTGAGACCCTCAGGTAAGGCAGGCCATGGGAACCTGGGATATCACCTGGGCCAGGAGAGTTTCCTGAAGCCTTTGGTAATACTGTCCATTCATCCAAGCACCTACACTCTATAATCCCAGGCACTGTGATGATTCCAGGTTCATGTTTCCATTGGTGCCATGTAACCCTGTCTTTAAGGAGGGCTTCAGTGATGAGTGGAGGAAGGGGCATTCTCAATCAGAGAGCTGGGACCATGTTAATTGGTCCATCCTGGAGGCTTCCACTTTCTGAGGAGGCAGGAACCATCCTAGTGATCCTGCCTGTGTTTGCAGTTTATTTACAGCCCTCATTCCCTGGGCTCCTTCTGACCTGCATTAATGTAGGGGTTCACTGTGACTCAGACTCTCCCTCTCGCAGCTTTGTAGTTTTTGCTCTGGGGTTGTTTTTTTCCCCCACATTTCATTCCCAGAACTGTTTTCACCCCTTGTTACTGTGCTCCCAGGACCATGACTTGTGCAAGGCCACCCCACATCCCACCAGGATCCTGGGATGGGCATGGGTGGTTCCCTCTGCAGCTTGTGTGGTCAGGAAACCTTTCTGAGCTCAAGTGGGATCACTGCTTGCAGGAGTAGCCCAGACATAACTGGTCTGTTCTTGGGTTGTGTGTTGCCAGAGAAAGATGTGAAGGATATTCCTATTCCCCCTGGGCAGTCATTCACCTACAGCTGGAGTCTCACTGCTGAGGATGGCCCAACAGAGGCAGATCCTCGCTGCCTCACCCGTTTCTACTACAGCTCCATCGACGCAGTCCGAGACACGGCCTCAGGCCTGATTGGGCCGCTTCTCATCTGCTCTAAGAAGTCCATGGATCAGAGGGGAAATCAGGTGGGGCGTCTTTCCTTTGTTGCCTCAACTTCTAGGCTGAAAGGCTGGAATAACTGTAATAGGTGAAATGTTTAGGTAAAAACAAATTTGTCTGTTTTGTTCTCTTCAATCCTATCAGCAGTCCTAATGCCTCTGCCTTCCCCATCCTCCCTTGCATGCTCTCTTTTCTCCAAACCTGCACCCTAACCCCTGTAAAATAACAGTAAACTTCTCCATGCAACCAGACTGAGAGCTGACAGCTACCCTGGGCACCAGGGATGCTCTGATCAGACCAGGAATAATTTCTTCCTTCTCTTTTCTAGATAATGTCAGACAACATGAAGTTGGTGCTGTTTGCTGTCTTTGATGAGAACTACAGCTGGTACTTGGAGGAGAACATCAAGAGGTTCTGCTCTGATGCAACCCATGTAGATACCCAGGACTCACAGTTTTATGCCTCCAATGTGATGCACAGTGAGTACCCAGCCAGGGGCTCCCTGGAACGCCCCTGCAGACACAGGCTCATCCCTGCCCCAGGGAAGGAGCAGGGGATACACAGCAGCTCAGCAGCCATGGGGAGAATTTGGTCTTGAAATGTTTCACCCCTGTCCTCTTCCAGCTATTAATGGCTTTGTATTTGACAATCTCCAAACAAAACTCTGCCTGAACGACGTTGTGTACTGGTATGTCCTGAGTGTTGGGGCCCAAACAGATTTCCTCTCCATCTTCTTCTCTGGAAATACCTTCAAGCACAACATGGTCTTTGAGGATGTGCTTACTCTTTTCCCATTTTCTGGAGAAACAGTCATCATGAGTTTGGAAAAGCCAGGTTAGTAGCATGGGCTATTCTGTAAACCATGGGCTTGGCATCCCAGCAGAGATCAGCGAGCACCTCCAGCCAGTTCTCTGGTGCCCAATTCCTTTGGACAGCTCTGAGAGCAAAGGGATGCTGGAACAGCAAAATGAGAGGCAGTGATTAAATCTTTCAAATCAAATAAATTGAATTGTGGTATTTTACTTAATTAGTAGGGTGTATTAAGGTCATGCACGCTGCCAAACCAGTAAGCTGGCTGCAGTAACATGAGCCTGGTGGACATTTGCAATCTTGGCTCCAAGCTCGGAGGTCCAGGGGAGTGGCAGTGCTGTTCCAGCTGTGGGTTCAGCTGCTGGTCATGCCATTTATCTCCAGACTTTTGCAAGGACAGAAACAGCAGCCACAGAAAAGTCCTAGAAAAGATTTGCTTTGGAGTTCAATTATATTTCCCCCCACTCGGCCCTTTTTCCTTAGTGCTGGCAAAAGAGGTGCTGTCAAACCATTTCCTCAGTCACAGAGGAGACACAGGATTTACCATGTGGTTGCAACACTGATATGATGGTAATGGGCACTGCACCCTGACCCAAGCTGTCAGGGTTTCTAGACACCGCAGGGAGCTCTGTATAACCCAGCCAAGCCTCGCATCCATTTGAGCTCAGATTCCTGCCTGCTGCTCAGAAGCAGAGCAGCAGCTCAGCCGGCAGCAGGTGGCAGCTCTCTCCAGCAGCAGAGCCCAGAAATCACATATCTCACCCTCTCTGCTGGGAGCAAACACACTGGCTGGGGATGCGAGTGAGAGGCAGCCTTTCCTTTCATTCCCCTTCAGTGGGAGAGATGTGGTGGCTGTCTTTGGGAGAGAGGTGTGTTTGACAGCACCAGGATGTCTTTGGGGGTGGGTTATGGTGACTGCTGCTGCTGCTGGAGGCTCCGTGGGTTCTCACTGCATTAACTGCTCCCACCAAGCTGTACTTGGGCCCTCACAGCTGTGTGTAGCTCACTATGCTTTGCCAGGAAACACCAGCCCTGCTGATGGTGCTCACCCTGCATGTTGCCAGCAATGCTGTGGGTCCAGCTGTAAGACACTCTAGGGACTACAAAAGCATGGAATCACTACCATGAGCCAGAGGCTGCCTGAAAATATAGGCTGGACTAGCAAGGGAGCAGCACAGGAATGGCATCTGTTCCAGTTTCCCACTGAAGTGGGCTGATGGTGTCCTTTTGCACTCTCTTGAGACAGGTGTCTGGACACTGGGGTGCCTAAATCCTGATTTCAGAGACCGAGGGATGCATGCCAAGTTCACGGTCTCGCAGTGCCAGTATGAGCAAGACACTGATGAGGAAGATTATGCGTATGACGATGGGGAGGAGGTTGCTTTTGAATTCCAGCCTAGGGGCTTCTCTAAAAGAAAGAAGTCATGTGTGGATGAGCAACTGAACAACATCTCCTCTTCAAGAAATGAGACAGAGAGGATAAGATTGTGCCTGACAGAACATGGGGCTGTCCTGAGCAACAGCAGGATTTCTGATCCCTCTTCTAATGGAACATCAACATTTTTAGGAGCAATGCAAAATCCACATGATATTTCCATGTCTTCCCTGCCAGAGAAAAGCTATGAGCCAGTGTCCTATGAGTCCTTCCTGGAAGATGAAGAATTGTCAAAAATCATCAGCCAGGATGAAGGGTTTGGAGCAATCCCACCTGGAGAACACTTGGGGAGTGTCAGTGGAAGGGTCCATGGTACTGTGAGCTCAGAAGATGAGCAACAGCTGCACCAAGCCACAGCAGCTCCAGGAGATGCTCTGGCAGGAACAAAAGTGACAAAATTCCCAGAGGTGCAGGAGCCAGTAAAAGGAACGACAGTCCAGTCTGGTGGTAGGATAGAGAACCTGGAAGCAGAGCCTCAAAAGACAACTACTCATGCAACAAGCTTGTGGGACTCCATTGCTTATGCTGCTGGCAAAGCCCCTCTTCAGGAGAACAGGAGCTCAATTCACCAGAATGATCTGGAGCACAACCTGGCACTTCAGGATGTGTCTTCACAGAGTAATGAGTTGCTAAAAGGGGCTGATAAAATATCCTTTAAACTGTATGACTCAGAGGAGACAATCATTACAGCACCATCTTTAAGTACTGATCACAACTCTTCCTCCACATTGAACAATCCTTCTGCATATCCAGATGAGACAGAGGATAATAGGACTTCTCATGCTGTGGTTCAGAGTCATGCCATAGAAAGCAATTATTCATCAAATGACCTAGATGCTAGGCTGGAAAAAAGGCTTCACAAAGTGGTTTCACAAGGCTTTTACGAAAGTTTTGACGAGCAAAATGTTTCTTTGTCAGATAAACCTGTACCAGGAGAAATCTTCACAGCTGAGAGTAACTCCTTGCCTGCAAAAAGTGGCATAGAACAAGCCAGTAGACTTGCCAAAGGCACCAGCCTTCTAGACACCACCTTTGCAGATACCAATGACCTTGAGCCATCCAGCTATGTAATGACAGAAGAGAGGGATGAAGTAATTTTGAAAGAAGTGTTTCAGGATGCTAAGGAATTAGCAGAGTTGGACAGTATTGTATTTTCTGAACCAAATGTTGTGACCAATGACACCAGGCCATTCCCAAATAGTTTCCTAAAGAGCTCTGAGCAGTTTCTGAGACACAGAGTTACAGCCAGAAGCACGAGTGGCTCTGACTGGAGACCTAAACAAGCCAGGTCACTGGAGAGCAGAGCTTTGGGTCTTCCCAACACCAGCAGCAAGAAGCTCCTCTCTGATGGTAAGACAGCAGAGCAGGATCTGGCCAGCCAGGCCCCTGAGACAGCAGTGAATAAGGAAGCTCCAAAGGCGTGTGGACCTCATTCCCCTTTTTGCATCACTCGCTTCAAAAGGAGGTCTTTGGTATCAAGTGACACCTTGCCTGAGGCGATGGTGGCCCCGAAGAGCCTGGAAGAAAAATCCAAGGTGGCTGAGAGGAGGCTACATCCAGGCAGGGATGAGATGTATCCTGAGGAGAGGCTGAGCACAGACAGGGTGGTACAGGGCAGCAGTGAGAGGGCTCAGCGCAGCAGACGCTCCCTCCCCTCACGGGGAGCACTGGGGACACGACCAGCAGTGGCAGCAAGCAGCTCAGAAAGGCAGGTCCCTGCTGAGGCTGCACACCTGGCCTCAAACTGGGACCCAGTCTCCCCAGGGGCTGTGGTGAACACAGGGGACTTGCACAGCCCAGCTCTGGCTGAGCTGCAGCCAGGCAGAGCTGCGGTGCTGGGGGCTCCTGGGAGCGAGCAAGCTCAGGGGAAAAGCCAGACGGAGGAGGAGACGAACTCTGTGGAGCAGCTGGGTCTGTTCAGTCTTGAGCCTCAGCAGCTCAAGGCCAATGCCATAGAGGACCATGTGCCTGGGAGAATGTCTGGGCAAAGCCCAGAAGGAATGTCTCTGAAATCAGCCATCAGAGAGAACTGTTCACTGTCTCCAAGTAGTCCTGCTCACAACAACAACAGCACCAAAAAGCCAGCACAGTATGTGCAAGACACTCCTCATGGATGTCAGGTGCTCAGCAGGAAAAATGTCCTCAGAGAAATAGGGAAGACAGAGAGCCAGGATCTGGGAGAGCCCAAGGAGGATGGGGAAAGCAACAACACAGCTGGGGAGAGGGGCCACATCCCAGGACACGGGGAGGAACTGGCCCTGAACAATGGGACACGTTTCAGCCCCTCAAAAACTGCCAAGGCAGACTACGATGAGTACAGCGACACAGAGCAGACCATGGAGGATTTTGACATGTATGGGGAAGAGGAGCATGACCCGCGCTCCTTCCAGGGGGAGATACGGCAATACTTCATTGCAGCAGTGGAGGTGATGTGGGAATATGGGGACCAGAGACCCCAGCACTTCCTAAAAGCAACGTAAGTGTGATTTTCCTGCATGCATTCCTCCTGCACTGCATGGCATGGCATGATGCATGAGATGGCATATCCTGGCAGGCAGGATCACAGTTCTGTACCAGTACAACCCAGCCAAGCAGCCCAGGGGAAGGATGGTCCCAGCAACTCCCCTCTGCCATGGGAGGGTGGGGAGGGGTGCTAAACCTCCAGAAACTTTGAGCTTCCTTGCAAGTGGGTAAGGGATGCTCTGGCTCTGTATCCCCCTGACCTGTAACAACCCTGCCATGGCTGTCCTCACTATGGGAAGTGTCACCTGACCTACCTAACTGGCATCCCCCTGCAGGGACCCCCGAAGAAGCAAGAGGAAGCATTCCTGGCAGTACCGCAAGGTGGTTTTCCGAGAGTACTTGGATGATTCTTTCACGCAGCTGGTGCAGCGCAGAGAGCTGGATGAACACCTGGGCATCCTCGGGCCCTACATCAGGGCAGAAGTTCAAGATGTCATCATGGTGAGTAGAAAGTTCCCATTTCCTATAAAACCATAAATTCCCCCATTATTGTTGGAGTTCAGCCAGAGGGAGTGCTGAGGTGGGCCTGCAGGCTCTGCAGTGCCTATGGGTTAGCCTTCAGGGACTGGGGACAGGAGCTGCCCTGTTGGCATGTGAATGGCACCAGACTGGGAAGCAGAGCCACCATTCAGAGGGACCTCAGTGGCTGGAGGAATGGGCTACTAGGAACCTCAGAGTGTTCAGATGCAAAGCCCTGGACCTGAGATAGACCCAACCCCTGCAACAGCATGGCCTGATCAGCTTCTGGGCTCCATGGGAAGCCTTTTGGGTGAAGAGATTGCAAAAAGGGTAGTGAGCTAAGCAGGGCTCAGTACAGCTCTTTTAGGTGCTCTGTATGAGGGCAGGCTTGGGCTTCCCACACTACCAAAGGTCCTTCAGCACCTACCTGAGAAGAAGGTGAAAGACTCAGGACTTGTATCCCTGGAGAAGTTGCTTTTTCATTGAATTCTTCATTGAAATCTTCACCAGGATGGATTCAGCCCCTCTGGGCTCCAGAGGCAGTAGTGTAGCTGACCTTGCTTCCATTGAGCAGGAAAAGGGCCTCATCCAGCAGACATGAACCCAGGATGTGCTTTCCACCAGAGATTGCACCACACAGTTGCAGTTTGTGGTTCAGCAGGGGTTGGCCACTGCATGGAAACCAGCTGGAGGTCTGGGAACCGGGGACATCCTTCCCACCAGCTGGCTGGACCCACCACCAGGCTCCAGAGCATTGTCAGCATTGCCCCCTCACATATTCTGCTGCTTTGCCTTCCCTCTGGTGCAGGTGACGTTCAAGAACCTGGCCTCACGGCCCTTCTCCTTCCACTCCACACTGACAGCCTATGAGGGCACAACACAGCAGGGTGGGGTGGTGCAGCCTGGTGGCCAGCAGAAATACTCCTGGAAAGTCCTGCCCCAGATGGCACCCACCACGCAGGAGTTCGACTGCAAGGCCTGGGCTTACTTCTCCGACGTGGACCTGGTAGGTGGGAGTCTCCATGGGGCATCCCAGGAAGGAGAGGTTGGCAGTATGCTGGGTCCTGACTGTGAGGCCAAGGAATTTCCTGTGGGGCTATGCTGAAAGCTCCCTGGGGCTGTGTAGATTCTCTGGTGTCTAATACAACGATGAATACATGCTGGTGCTCATCCCTTCCCTTCCCTTCCCTTCCCTTCCCTTCCCTTCCC